AAAAAATTCATTCGTAAAATTTGAGAAAAATGAAAGAAAGGAAAATGACAGGGTCATTACACGCGCCGGGCTGTAGACTTGCCCCAATCTGACATAGAGCAATGTGGGAGATAAAAAATGAGCCTCTCAAAGGTTCTTCACCACTTTGCCCATTATCAAAGGGCTCTGCTAGCTAAGTAGGTCTTTTTGAGATTTTTGTTTCTGTTTATGTAGAAAGAGAGTCCTCACAACAGTTCAGAAAAGAGTCATGTTCTTGTCATTCACTTTGTTAAGTAGATAAAGATTAATTACACAAACTGGGGCTCTGAAGAAGTCGGACAATCTAGAATAGGCAACAATGAAGTGAAATAATGGATTTGCATAATGAAAGCTCTCAAGTCCCAAAACGTACATTTTTTTTTTTCCAATATTATCTTTCTTTTTATAATTTTTTGGGATTGATTTGATCTTTTATATATGTTGGCTCGTAAAGGAATTTTTATGGGTTTGGATTTAGGTTTTTTGTTTGCAAAAAGATTGATTTAGGCTTAGTATTATCTTCCTTTCCTATGTTCCTCTCATGGGCTATAGAGAAGTCAGGCAATCTAGAATAGGCAACAGTGAAGTGAAAGAATGGATTTGCACAATGAAAGCTCTCAAGTCCCAAAACATCTGCTTTGTAGTCGGTGGACAACTCATTCGTCATTTGTGAATATTTCTGGTCCTCTTTTTTCTCTTCATATCTAACTCTTATATATATAAAGCTCAGATTATTTTCTTTTTACTTCTTCTTGCAATCTTCTTTAGAACCCTTACTATTTTTATTTCTCAAATCTTCTTTTGATATTCCAAATTTCAGAGAGAAGCAAAATCTACGATATATATTTTTTTTCTTTTGTTCCTGATACGAACTACAACAATTAAAGGTGGATTTTCTTTTTTCTCTAACGTTGAAAAAGTTTGAGCTTGAAAATGGATTGTTTCCATTTCAATGTTGGATCAATTTTTATTTTTTATTTTTAAAAAATGTGAAGATTTATTAATATATTCACTTTTTTCAAGTTCTTGTTTCCAAGATTTTTTTTTCTTTCTTTATTTCCGGGTTGAATGATGGTTTTTTCTTTTCTCTTGTTTTATTTCTTAACTTTCATTTTTTCTGTTTAGTTTGTGATATCAATTACATTTGAATTGTTGATCTATTTTTGGTGAATATAATTTATCTCTGAAAATATACGCAATTTCAACTACTGGGTCAAATATGGGGTGTCAATCCACTTAATGTTCAAAATAGATGTTATATGACTCCTTTGTTTGCTAACAAGGACCTGAGAAAAACAAAGAATATTTTTATTACAGACACTAATATCATCCTTCATTTGTTTGGGTTTTAACCTCTATTACTGTTTGTTTCTATCTACTTAATCAATTTTTTTATTTTAGTTGTTCCCATAACTGGCAAAAATAGAATCCATCTTTGAATATTTTGTCTCATCTTTAAACTATCAAAACATAAGTACAATGAAAATTTTGGATTATGAGAGATATGGTTGTGGCATTTACCTATTTGTCTAGGTGGTTATGGAGTGGAAAGCAACAAGAGCCTCAAATCTCTAATGGGTCTTATTTAAATTCTTCATCAGATTGGGGCTTGTGGGAGTCATATGCTATAAAATTCCATTTGGTTAATGCTAGTAATGTGGTATCCTCATCTAGAAGTGTTAAGCGAAAATGGCGAAGCCGGGAAGAACATAAATTTGATAGGGAATATAGGAATATGGTTGTGGCATTTACCTATATATATATATATATATACACACACACACACACACACATACTTAAGTGTGACAAGTTGATACAAGATTTTTAATGGATTTTTTTCAAAACCCCTTATATATATACACATACTTAAGTGTGACAAGTTGATACAAGATTTTTAATGGATTTTTTTCAAAACCCCTTATTTTATTAAGGGTCATTAGACAAACAACTTATACTTTCATATTTTTAGTTATCAGTCAAATTTTTTTTTTAATGAAAATATCTTAAGCAACTTTTTCCAAATGAGCCAATAAGTATAATTTTGAGCTCATTAACTGGATTCACAAGTATCTTAGGCTCTTGGCCCTCTTTGAGTTTATATATGATTTATTTGTGGTAACTATATTAGAAAAAGGTTACATCTTGATATGATGGAGCTTTGACATTTCTTTCTATTATTTTGGTGATACTAAACTCATATTTAATATTGTCTTCTCTCTCAATGATGGTCTGAAAAATAGAATATTAAAGAAATTTCTTTATGTTACAATTGATATTTGATTTTCTTCTTATGCATCCAAGGATCTATCGCTTAACATGATCTCTTACCTCATAAATTGAAAATTTAAAAAAGTTTTTGGACTTGTAAGCATATTCTTATTGTTTGTAGAAATTGGCGTGCAAATAAATTGGGACGTAATGGTGCTAATAAAAATTTCATGGGTCATGAGGCAGTAGGTTTTGAGCTTCCAAATGCTACTAATTTGCAAGCAACTAGGGTTTTGGAGATTAAGGTGAACAATGGACCTGCTAAGTGAAGGAAGGACGCATCATTGTAGCCATCGTTCCAGATAAGTTCTTTCTTTTTTCCATTTTTTTTGTCCCCACAATCTTTTTCTTCATTTTCCTAGGTTTTATAATGTTGCCCTTTTATTGGTGTTAATTGATTACAATGTTGTAAGCCAATTCTTTGTATGGTTTTGCAAGTTTCTAATGGCATTTTCGCTGAGTTTTTACTATTTCAAATGAAATATATTGTACTTGATTATATTTAGAATTAAGAACATGAAGTTATTTCTATTCTTCTTCCCTAGCCCTCCCCTTAGTGAAGAACTTTTTGGATTATCATGGTGTTGTGTTATGAGGTTTTTATTTATTTATTTTATTTTATTTTTATTTATTATTATTATTTTTTTTTGTGCTTTTTCCTATTATTCCAAATACTCCACATATAATAGCAGTAAAGAAAAACCTCAAAATTTTGTTCCTTATTGAATTTGTGGATTGTGAAATGAACTAGCTAATGACAGTTTCAAACGATGGAAGTGATAGTAGCTCATCCCATTTATAAATTTCCCTAAACCATTGGCACACCTGTTGAGCAAATGGACAAGACCAGAAAAGATGGTCATTTGAGTATTCATCCTTGTAGTAGTTATGACATATAGTTGTGAAATTGAGACTGCTTCTTAAGGTGTATTAATGACTTGTTTGCTTGCTGGAGCACCAACACAACAAAAATGGATATCTAGGCTTTCTGCCATTCCAAACCAATGACTACTATGGAGCCTCAGTACCTTGTTATTTACAAATGTTTTATGCTGCGCTAAAGCTAAATTGACCTACAACCCATCCTATCTCATCATCAGCTTCAACATTATCTACAAATGTTGAACTTATTAAGAACTGTGGTATCTCAGATGGCCAAGATGGTGGTACAGTCCACCTAGAGTTTTGCCACAATGCATTAACAGTAGCATTAGTATTGAAACCAATAATAAGATTCTTCAAACCAAATTTCTGGTGCAAAGAACACACTGCATACCAAGGATCAAAAAATAAACTAAAAGAGGTACCATTGTTGATTCTGAACTCCAAGTGCTGAAGTATCTTTATGGTTAAGTTCTTCTTTTTGGGTGTATTATAGCAGAAAGAATTGATATAGTGTAACATTATGAATATACATAATGGTTCAAATACATAACATGAATCAAACGTAACAACAAACAAACACATTTTGAGAACGACAACACAAATATGTGTTAGGTTTCTTTTTAATTTCGGTTAATTTTATAAATCTCATATATATATATATATATTTAATTTTTATGATTTATATTAGAAATGAGTTTTTGCATTATATGAAATTTGGTTGTCATGTTAGTTATGAAATCATTATGATGTTATTCTAAACACATGTTGGTTTTCCTCGACTTCGGTTCATTTTACGAATTTAATATATATATATATATATATATATATATATATATATATTAATGAAATAAGTTATGATTTATGTTAGAAATGTGTTCTTACTCTATATGACATTTAGTTATGATGATAGTTATGAAATCATTATGATGAGACACGTACTTGGTTTCCCCTTGAATGAAATAAGTTGTGATATTTGTTACAAATATGTTCCTACACTATATGAAGTTTAATTGTGATAGTAACTACTAATTATGAAATCGTTATGGTGTTATTCTAAAGACGTGTATATTTTTCCCTTTGTCATCAGTTAATTTTATGAATCTCATATATATATATATATTAAATGAAATGAGTTGTGATTTATGTTATAAATATGTTCCTACACTAATTGAAATTTAGTTGTGATGGTAGTTATGAAATTGCTATGATCTAACTATTTGCTTAGCAAAAATTAATCTTTTCTTTGGTAGGTAAAAATACATGTTCTAAATGACCTTTTTATTTTGTAGAACCCAAAAAATATTTTTTTCATTTCATTTCATTTCATTAATTAGGAGTTTTGTCCTGATATTTGTTATTCATTGATCAAGAGTTGACTATAACTACACCTATGTCCATGTTGAGGATGATGCTGACAAAGATTAACACAAGTTTAGATGATAAGAAAAAAAAAATTGGTAGCATAAAATATAATTGAAGTTGTGTGATAGAGCATAATGGCAAATCTGAGTTTGTGCAACTGTGTGACTTGTCAAGATAAACCTTCATAGAGTTGAATTGAATCAAAATTTTATTTAGGCAAAGGGAATTACATCTAAAATTAATTTTATTAATGTGAAATGTGTTCCATAACAACATTTCCCTAAAAAAAAAAAAATGAAAGAATGACTAAGAACAGACACATATCTTAATGAATATTTCACGGCCGAGCTCGGTAAACTTACTATATTCTTATAACTAATTCCGTGAAAAAAAAAAAAAAAAAAAAATCACTTTACACCTTGAACTTTATTCATCAGGAAAACAAATTGGATCAAATTGCATTTGACCTAAATTGATTTGTAGGCATTGAGTATGCTCTCAGTGGCCTCCTTGAGCTCTAAACCAGCCTTGAAGTCAGCGACATAATGATGATAATCGCTCTCAATCTTTAGGTGAAAGACTATGGAGTCCCAATGAAGCTGAAGGAAGATGCCCAAGTCAAATAACTTGAGAATATCATCGCAGATTGAGGAGAGCTGGGACTTAACCTTAGATATATAGTTTCTGATCATGGAGATGTGGTCTCGTTGCAAAGGCTCTCCTCTTGCATCGATCACGTTCTTGTAGGCAACGGATAGGAGGTAGCGCTCCTTCACCAGTTCGCCGCCGTCAAAATCTTTTCCATAAACTCTAACATCCCTTCATAGGCCACTTGCCATCTTCGCCACGTACAAGTTCTCTTTATCATGCCGAAGGTGTGACCGCCATGGATGAACCAATGTGCGTGAGGGGTTTGAGAACAGGTTTTGGTGTTTGACTTTGAAAAGATACGTTTGAGAGAGAGAAAAGAGAGGAAGAGAAATGGGAGGGCAAGGAAATTGTATTGTACAATTGTATTTATATCTGGTATTTTTGTGTATAGTAAAAATTAGGGTTAATTACACTCACACCCCCTGAGGTTTACTCTATTGACAGCCAGATGAAAGTTAAGCCGTTTTTGAACAATCACATCCCCTCATATTTAATAAAGTTAACAAACACACCCCTATCACATCTGACATATGATGAATTTACTTTATTGCCCTTTGACTATTGACCTATTTAAATATTGAAATTACAGTTCTAACCTTCCACCCACCCACCCACCACCACAATCACTTCACAAGACGTGTGTTTCTGTATTATATTTATATTTGATTGTATATATTTTTGTATGATTACTGAAGAATATATGTATATCAATTAACTTCCAAAAAACATATATATCTATATTGATTCAATGGGGTTGCTAATGATTTATTTAAAAAAGGAAAGTTCAAGAATTTGGTGTGTTTTTTGACATATACATACATACATATATATATACACAGAAAAACATACCAAATTCTATAACTTTCCTTTTCTAAATCAATTTCCTTTTTTTTTTTTTCTCTTCAAAAACCCGATTACAATCACAGAATTAATGCTCAAATACACAACACAAATAAGGATTTCCTTTTTAACTCAAACCATTTTTTTCTTTCTCTACAAAAACCCGATTGAAAGAGAGAATTAAAATACACAAATATACCTACAAAATGAATGTCGGTTGACAAGAAGATGAGCAACCCCTCGTCACCGCCTCTGCTGCGATCCACAAGCCACAAATCAATTTGGATTCCTTCACAAAATTCCACAAACCCTAATCCACTTCAACTTGTACCGCTGCGATCCACTTCCTTCTTGTACCACCCTTCTGTAACTAACCTCCTCCTCACTCTCACAACGGCTTGTTGGGCCACCGCGGGCATAGATCAACCATGGTGGTGGTGATAAGATAGATGGTGATATTGTGTAATCACAGGTGGGTGGAGAGAGATGGTGGTAGTGGCTGTGGCGGTGGGTGTAGAGAGATGGTGGCGGCGATCATGGCTGAAGGGAGATGATAGCGGTGGGTGGAGGTGGCGGCCATTGTTAAGGAGAGATGGTGGCAGCAGGTGTGGAGAGAGGGAAGAGCCGATGACATATGTATGGACAAATTTGTCATTTTACAAGTTGAGAAATATTTTTTATTTTTATTATTAAAATGAATTAAATATTCAAGGGTAATTTCGTCTTTTTCTATCTTTTAAGGGCTTGTTTGGCTGAAATTTCTAACAAGGGGTGTGAGTGTTCAAAAAAGGGCTAAGTTTCATCTGGCTGTTAATATAACAAACCTCAGAAGATGTGAGTGTAATTAACCCTAAAAATTAACGTAGCTCAATATTTTTTTTTTTACCTTCTGGCTGACTTGGCAATGACTAGATCATGATGTGATCAAAGATGAATAGGTGGTACCATCACAGCCATTAAATCCTCACTGACCACTTCTAATGAGAGGTGTCCTGGAGGTGATTTTTGTCGGAGTTACATAACCCATTTAGTACAGAGTCTCGAGTCAAACGTTGGACTCACTCCATCCTCTTTTCTTGCTAGGTATATATATATATATAGACACACGCATGCACACCAGCTTTGAGGGATTCATTTATTTATCGGGATAGGTTGCTAGATGAGCCACAAAATCTTACAACCACCACCACCACAACAGCAACAATACAATGATACATACTACAAATACACCCACAAGATAATAATGCATATATGATATATATGATGAATTCATATACATATATACTACAATATCATTCACTTGAATTAGTGAAAAAATAATAATTTGAAGTGCCATTGAAAGGCACAGGGATGGACCACTTTAATCATCCATCCATATGATGCATCGTATGCTCTTCCCATTCAGTAGTAAATCGAAAGCTTTGTTAATATCGTTGAAGCTCACTTCATGTGTTATAAACCCATCCAAATTAAGTTCCTGTTCAACCAAAAAAAATTAAAAATTTAAATGATATGATCCTTTATGAAATATAAAAAATATTATAAAAATTTAAATATAAAATATAAGAGGCCACATATGACATTCTATTCAAGGTAAAAGATATTATTATGTGTGAAATTAAGAATTTAAATAATCAAAATCCTTTTTGGTAACGATTTTTTGTTGTTGAATTTTACCGTTATCAATGATGAATTTCATGGCTTTTCACCGATGAATTTCATGGCTTTTCAGCGTTGTAGTGATAAAATTCTTCATTATTAATGATGAAATTTCACCAACCGGGATAAAGAAGTGAAAAGAGGCCACCTATGCAATTGAACACATTGTCTTTAATTAAAATTTTTCATATGGGATATAGGTTTGATTAAATAAGTTTGGGATAACTAAGGGTGTCGGTGTCTTGCACTGTTATGTGAATTAGTTCGGATAAAAATTTGAACATTACCACATGAAAAATAAATAAATAAATAAAATAAAAAATAATGATGGAAGGAAACTTACTTTGTTGAGATATTTATTGGCAAGAATGGGAATGTCAGATTTGGGTTTGACACCTCCAAATAGTGACCCCACAACACTTCTACCCACGAGTAACTCCAAGGAGTTGATGCTTATTGACAAGCTCTGCACGTCCACCCCCAATACCACCGTCTTTCCGCAACCCTATTTTCCATGCATTCTTACTTTTATTATTATACATAAAAGCGAGTTATATTTCCTTTACACATATATATCTATACACACACATATATATGAAACACTATATATATGATCATGAGAGAGAGAGAGACCGGTCGAGAACTACTGAAAGCATCTCGCGCCACTGATGCCAACCCAATGCACTCAAAGCAATAATCAGCACCCCCATTTGTCATTTCCTTTATAACCTGATTTAAAAACAACAACAAAAATAATTTTTTTTTTTTAAAAGGTTAAATTGTTTTTTAATAAATTTGGTAGATCAAAAGTGAAGTATCATTGGTCAAATTTTAAAAGATTGGTAGGCCTGAGTAGAGAGAATAATTGTTTACTTACTTGGATTTAAATTTGATTTGCTAACTAATTCCTTGACTTTTACGTTAATACTAACCTCGCTCACTGATTTTCCGAGGCAGACGGTAGGATTAATAAAATCAGTAATTCCAAATTGTTTCCCTGCCAATGCATAATAAAAACACAATATAAATTTTGCAACATCAAATCTATCACAATCTCGTTAGTTTGACAGTCATTTTCAATCAAAATCAAAGCACAAACTAAATTTCAATCACACCCATTAATTAATTACCAGTTTCAAACTTTCCAGGATTCAAATCAACACCTATAATCTTTGCTGCTCCACGAACCCTAGCTCCCTCTGCAACCTGTTCCATTTAGATTCACTTATACATATATATATATATATAGTCAATTATATTCACAACCAGCATATAATATGCATTTACACAACAAAATAATTAATATATACAATGTGTTTATTTATTTATTTTTATGTAATCAGGGTATTCGTAAGATACCGTGCAAAGAGAGTATTCACGTAATAGAGGGAGACTCGAATATAATATAATCGAGTCTTGGAGGAAAAGTATATATAAAGCAGGCCATAATTCATTCCACTCATTAAAGTAAAATGGGACTCGTGAATCATGCCACATTCTATGGTTGTAAAGAGTAGTCAACTATTACGACAAAAAAAAAAAAAAACAACAATGATTGCATATGAGACTAAAAGGTAGTCTACAAAATTTTTGCATCTGCAGCAATTCAGTGAATTATTTGAGGGCTTTTGTGCAAATAATGTAAAGTTCACCTACCGTCCACTTCTGCACTTTCCAGGGACTCAACTGACAATAAGCATTTTTGAACTACTTTACAACACTACAATTAGACAAACAATAGCCGACAGTTTTGAGTATTTGTTTTCAATTCTCACCTTGAATTGAACATTTGTTTGTCATCATGTTGAATTAGTATCCATTTCGAGATTTACATTGTTTACTTAACATGCGATGTAAAGATTTTACCTAGATAGTTGTTGCGTAAGCGACCTACCGCAAATTAACAATGACCAAGTAAATATAATTAATTACCGCAAGTCCCACAGCTCCAAGCCCAAAGATTGCCACTGTCGACCCCTCTTCCACCTCTGCAACCTTCCAAGCTGCACCAACACCTGCACTCGGACCACAATTAATTAATTTTTCATTTCTTCGCGGGAATACAAATGATTGAACTAACGTCTTATCAAGTTTTTACCATTATATCAAGCGATGATCCTTTTATGACTAATGACTTACCGGTAGAAACTCCACAACTGAGCAAGCAGGCCTTGTCGATCGGAATGTCAGGGTTGATCTTCACGACATGCGTGACATCCACCACCGTGTACTCGGTGAAGCTGGACACATTCAAGAAATGATACAAAACCTCTCCGTTCAAGTCCTTGAATCTGCTGGTTCCATCCCTTGGCATGCCATGGTACACTGGCTTAGCAAATTTGGAACAAACATTGCTCTTCTTGGAGAACTTGCAATCCCAACATTCCCCACAATCCCTTTGAAACACTGGCAACACTAAATCTCCTCCTTTTACTTCCTCCACATGCTCTCCCACACAATCAACAATACTAAAAAAAAAAAAAAAAATCACACAATATAAAATGAAAATAAAATTATGAACAATATACAATATATGGCGTTACCCAACAGCTTCATGCCCGAAAATCCTTGGAAAAAGAGCGGCTGGTCCCTGACAATTAGGGGAAAAATTGTATTGAATTGGTATATATATAAATGATTTGTTGTGTGCGTATTTATATTTGTGGGGTATATATATTTACTTACAGCATTCAATTTCCAGAAGGTAACATCACTATGACAAAGGGATGTGCAGAGTACTTTGATCCGAACCTCCCAAGCTTTTGGAGGGGAGACTTCAATTTCTTCTATTACAAGAGGCGCTCCTGGGATTCTGCTTATTGCAGCTGTAGTATATATTTCAAAATAAAAATAAAATAAATGAAGCATATAATAATTAAAATTAATGCCAGAGATTGTAGGAGGAAGCAAAAGTCCAGTTAAAAAGGAATCAAACCTTTACATCTTATAGGTTTCCCTGCAGTCTCCGATGGGCAAAATTTGTTCTCCTCCATAGTTGAGTTCTAATCTCTGCTTGATTTTCTTTGCTCTCCTTCTAGCTTGTTGAGTGATTTTAATCATCAATCCAATATATATATATATATATATATATATATATATATATATATGTGGGTGGAAATCTGGGCTGGTGACTGGTGGTAGTTGTTACAGTATTCTCTATTACGGAGAAAAAGTACCCTTTGTTTATAAGAAATGCAACGTTGAAACTGTAATCAACAGGTTACCTAACACGAACTAGCCTTATGCTGGTCAACGAAATGCTTATTCCCACCATCGCGACCAAACCATGGGCTTCTTGTGGTTTTGTGGAGTATATTATTGGGTAAAGTGCAATTAATTTTCTGAACTATTGGCATATTACAATAAATCCCTTAAATTACAAAAATGCTTCCTAAACTATTAATTTGTTACAAAAAAAAACCCTTAAATTATTGATTTTTTGTATTCCGACAAGTGGCTTGGTCGGAAATATTAAAAGACAAAATTACCCTTATTTAAAACTATGTAATTTTGAGAATTATACTTTAACTTGATGACGTGGCAGTTGATCATTCCTAAACCAATAAAAAAGTGACAACAAAGCCAATCTTATCTTTAGCCAAAAAATAAAAAATAAAAAAATCACACCCGAACACAACCTTACGCCCTCTGTCACTGTTCATCTTCTTCAATTCATATATATATACTATATATATACATACACACAGTTATATGTACTGTATATATACACACACACATACACACAGTTATATGTACTGTACTTTTTTTTTTCAGTTTAAAAGAGATTACAAAACAGGAGGTCCAAAACCCCCCAAAATAGCTCAAAGGCTAACAACCACAATCAAAACGTCAAACAAAAACGAAATCCCTAAAAACCAAAGGGACGAGTAATTGTGAATCCGACTGCCATAACAGAGGTAGATGGAGCCATGATGCCGGTGAACGGAAGCTAGAGATCGTCGAAAGGATAGACCTCTATGAACACAACGTTAGAGAGGTGCTAAGCGAATGCGACATAATAGGAGGCCTTGCAATCCCGAAAGTAGATGGAGAGTAGTTGATTGTGGATACACTCTTCAATCCCAAAAGTACTATACATTTTCTTCACAAACACGTGCTTCCTGGTGGTTTTTATTTTTATTTTTTTCTAAAAAAAATAATTGTGATCTGGGACGTCTCTCCTCTCCTCTCTCCCTCTGTGTGTATATATATTGCTCTATAAATTATAGATTTGTTGGGACAATAGAAGTGTTTGCTGGATAAGAAACACTTCAAGAATCAAGACTGAAACATTTGTCTTTTTATTTTTTATTTATTTATTTTTTTGAGAGAGAGAGACCCACTTTGACTATATCTCTCCATCATGTACCAGTAAGCTTCCTCTAAAAAACCCTTCCATTGTTCTGCAATTTACATAACCATACAAGCTATATATATGTATATACACACACAGAAAGAGGGAGCTATATATATAAGGGTTAGGGTTTGTGGACATGTTAAAGCATATAAGCCATCGTTAAAATCTTTGCACAATAACGATTGTGTGCATCTATGAATTCTTCAAATTCTAGTCCTAATTCTAATTTTTTTTAGTTCCACATGTGAACACGAAATTTTTTATTTTTTCCCAATCATGCGCGTTGGGAAGAAGTTCAACAGTAGTTTATAAATTATAACTATATATATATATATATATATATATATATATATATATATAGACATAAGGGTGTGTTTGGGGAGTTTAAAAGGTGTTTGGGTTTAATAGTTACAATAAGGAGCACTAATGTCTTTTTATGCTCACGAAGGTATTATGGTCATTAAAATTATAGTATATGACATGTGGTCAATTTAATGCTAAGATCCAACCGGAACAGGGATGGATCTGATCGGAACAGTGTCGGATGGGGCTATCTGCAACAAAAATGCATAGTTTAGGGGGTTAATTGCAACTTTGATAGTTCAGGGGGTTAATTGCTGATTATCCAATAGTTCAAGGGGTTTTTTTGCACTTTTCCCAATATTATTTGGTAACTTTATCTGTTTTTAATTTCTTATTGGTTTTGAACTTTATAAAAGACAAGTTTTTGTAGGACAAATTTGGGACTCTATATATATGAATTCTAATAAGATTTCAGAGTGTGGAAAAAAGTGAGAAGAAAAAAGAAAAAAGAAAGGATAATTATACAGGTTGTGTTAGAATATATTCTATAATATATTATTACCATGTATTAGTAGAATATATTCTATAATATTTCATTACCATATATAGCATTACTTTATATGGTAATTGTCTTAACTCACCCTCATTACTATATATAACATTACCTTATATGGTAATGACTTGCTCTCCATACAGTACCTCTCCTATATAAACCCCTATGTGCTATTGTATTATATATCTCATATACATCAATACAATATAGAGTACAATTTCTCTCTCTTATTTCTAACATGTTGTATGATTGATTAATTTGTGTCAACACAAGAGAGAGCAATTGAGAGAAAATTCTCATTCTAATTCTTCATCTTTTTCACAGAATTTGTTCGGTACGCTTCATGGACGTAACCCTAAGATTTGGGTGAACCATGTATATTTTGTGTTCTTGTGTATGAATATTTTTTTTTATTCTTCGTGATTGCTTGATTATTTCTCGAACAACGTTGTTTATTTTGTGTTTCCGCCACAACAACTTGTATCAAAGTATCCAGTTGATTGTGTAGCAACTCCAATAACTGGTATCAGAGCCTTTGGTTGAGAACCTAGGGCACAGAAGTTGTTTGACAAATTTTTGAAAGTCTTTCAATCAGATCTATCCGTTCGAGTAGGAGTGATGGCATTAGAAAATAAGTCATCTATATATATAATAGAGAAGTTTGATGACACAAACTTCGGTTTCTGGAAGATACAAATAGAAAGACCTCTTATTTCAAAAAAATATGTACCGCCCTTTGGGAGAGAAGCCAGAGGATACAAAGGATGCATAATAGGAATTACTTGATAGGAAGGCTTTTGGCACTGTCAGATTGATGTTGTCAAAATCAGTCGCCTTTATCATTAAGAACGAGAAAACAACGAAGTCTTTTATGGAAACCCTTTCTAGTATGTAGAATAGCCTTCTACAGTGTTGGAATTGTGGAAAGAAGGGACATTACCGTGTTGATTGCAGACTTCCAAAGAAGGGAACCGAAAGAAAAACTGAAACAAACGTTGTCTTGAAAGAATCAAGTGATGCATTGATATGCTCTTTGGAAAGCATGGCAGAGTCATGGGTTTTAGATTTCGGCGGATCGTTTCATGGCACCTCAAGCAAAGAGCTATTTAATAGCTATGAACCGGGTAACTTTGGCAAGGTGTATCTTGGTGATGATCAACCTTACAGCGTCGTTGGCAAGGGTGAAGTGCAAATCAAGTTGAATGGGCAAGCTTGACTTGAGGAAGAATCTGATTTCTGTGGGACAATTGTTAGAGGAAGGTTTTCTTACAACTTTAAATGGAGACTCGTGGAAAGTTTCCAAAGGCGCTATAACCATTGCATGTGGTTGGAAATCTGACACTCTCTACACAACTACCAGTGTTTGTGGGTCTATAGTAGTTGCAAAAAATAGAGAAGATCATAACCTTTGGTATCAGAGACTAGGTTACATGAGTGAAAGGGGGTTCAAGATTATGCACTCAAAGGGGAAACTACCAAGCATACGGGTAATTAATATTGACTTCTGTGAGAGTTTCGTGATGGGCAAGAAGAAGAAGGTCAGTTTTAAGAAGAGTGGCAGAGATCTCAGAAAGGAGAAACTTGGGTTAGTTCATACTCAAGTTTGCGGGCTAGCCACTGTCTGGGGGCCAGCTATTGTCTCATCCATTGGCGAAAAATCCTACTTCGTGACTTTCATTGATGACCACATGAGGAAGGTATGGGTTTATTTTTTGAAGTACAAATCTGATGTATTTGACGTATTCAATAAGTGGAAGGCTAGAGTGGAGAATGAGATAGGTTTGAAGATCAAGAGGTTGAAGCCAGATAATGGTGGTGAGTATAAAGACACCGAGTTTAAGAAGTTTTGTTTTGATAATGGGATCTAATTAGAAAGGACTGTGTAAGGAACACCACAGCAGAATTGGGTGGCAGAACTGATAAACCGAACATTGATAGAGAGAGCCAGAAACATGCGCATACATTCAGGTCTACCCAAACAGTTTTGGGCAGAAACAGTCAATACAACATCCTACCTAATTAATCGTGGACCATCGGTGCCTTTGGAGCACTGAATTCCGAAAGAGGTATGGAGTAGTGAAGAGGTAAATCCTTCATGGTTGAAAGTCTTTTGTTGTATTGCATATGCCCATATTAGTGACTATAATAAGGGAAAGCTGGACCCCAAGTCACTAAAATGCATCTTTGTTGGGTATGGCAGAGATGAGTTTGGTTATCGACTCTAGGATAATCAAAACAAGAAAATCATCAAAAGTAAAGATGTGGTTTTCAACGAGAATATAATGTACAAGGATAGAGATGCAGCACAGTCAACTAGTCCTATACAGATTAAGCTTAAGTTCGTTAAGTTGGATAATGAACCAGAGAGTATTGTTGCGGAGTAGATAGATGAGGGTTCTTGGCCAGAACACACAGAGCATAGTTCACCGCGGATTCCAACTCCTACGCTTGTACCTAAAAGGTCCACGCATCCTCATGTTCCAAATCAACGGTATATGGATTATTTGTTGCTCACAGATGATGGTGAGCATGAATGTTATAATGAAGCATGTCAGGTTGAAGATGTTAACAAGTAGGAGTTTGCAGTGAAAGATAAGATAAAGTCCCTTATCTCCAACAAAACATGGAAACTAACCAAGTTGCCTATGGGAAAGAAACCTCTTCACAACAAATGGGTGTATCGGGTAAAAGAGGAACACGATGATTCCAAGAGATACAAGGCGAGATTGGCGATCAAAGGCTTTCAGCCGAAGTAAGGCATTGACTACACAAACATTTTTTTCCCGGTTGTGAAACTGAGTACCATTCGCTCAGTTCTTAGCATTGTTGCAGCAGAGGGGTTGTATCTTAAACAGTTAGATGTCAAAACTGCTTTTTATCTATGGTGGCCTAGAGGAGGAGATTTACATGCAACAACCGAAGGGTTTCTCAATAAAAAGGAAAGAGAAACTAGTGTGCAAGTTAAAGAAAAACTTGTATAGTTTGAAGTAAGCCCCAAGACAGGGGTACAAGAAGTTTGATGGTTTTATGAAGCGACATGGCTATAACAAGTGCAACGCTAACCATTGCAACAACTTTAAGAGGTTTAAGTCAAGTTTCATTATCCTTTTACTTTATGTTGATGACATGTGTAATACCCCGTATTTTTAAAGAGTTTATTTAAATTAATTTTGTATTAGGTTAATTATTTAATGTATAGACTTATTCACCTTTGAATTGTGTATGCTAAATTATTCAATTAACATTATTGGTTTGTATATGTAATATAGATTATATGCTCTATATATTATAATTGGTTATATTTTATATTAATTAATATTAGTTACTTAAACTATTATATTGTAATGTATTAAGATGTAATAATAATAATAATAATAATAATAATAATAATAAAACAATGTCATGATGTAAAGATAGGATTACATTTATTATGGTAGAATTTTAGGTCAAATAACATGACTTAGGTTGTATTGACTTAACTTAAATTTGGTAGGAATGTTTTGGTATTTATTATAAGTTAGATATTTGTAATATTTATATTATATAAGTTAATATATATATTAGGTAGTTAACTTACCATTTAAAGGAACTCACTTAGTTAGAAGAGGAAAAAATAACAGTGAGCAATTTTATAAGAGTGAAAGGAAAAAGGAAGAGAGAAAGAAGCTTGGATCGGTGTAGGTAATTTTACCCTACGACGCGCAATCGGCGGATTTGTTTCAAATCCATAAGGCAAGTTATTATCTACTTTTCCCCTTTGAATCATTAAATTAATTATTTAATTTATTTAGATTATTTTGGAGTATGGAAAGCATGTTAAGATGTTAATAAATTAAATTTTTTTAGTTTATTAAAGTAATGAAATTTTAATTATTAAAGGTGTTAGATATTTATTTATTAGCCTATGTAATTAAAATATAGCTAAAATAATTATTTAAGGCTTTAGGGATTTTTTTAGAATTTTCTGGAATTTTTCGGGATTTTTCTGTAATTTCTGGCGAATTTCCCGGCTAGATTCCGGTCACCGGCAGTGGGGAAGACGATCGGAGTAATCCGGTGTGATGCAGCGCACAAGGGTTACCATGCGTTTGCATCAGTGGCCGTTAGATTAGCTTTTGATCCTTAGATCAATTCGGTGTAGCGCGGTACACCATATGTTGGTGTGCGCGAATCAGTGGCCGTATGATTACTTTAGGATCATCGTTTCAATCCAGTGTAGCGCGCCTACAGAATGGTGATGCAACCAACGAACCAGGAAGCGTCGCGTCAGCAGGTGGTCATTGTGCGCGCGCGGTAGCGCGTGCATGCGCGTGGCTGATGCCAAACGCCGGTGGGGGCACATGTAAGCGCGTGCACGTGTGAGGAAGGTGGCGGCGCGTGTGGGAAGCTCTGGGAGGCGCGTGAGGGCACGTGTGGGACTTCTGCAGCTGCTGGAAAAGTCCAGAATACCCCTAAGGACTGATTTGTAATTTTCAGAACCTTCAACTTATATTTTTGGGCCTAAGGTTGGTAGTTACGGGTTTAACGGGATATTAAATTATTATTTTTATTACCCGTTAATTATTATTATGTCTGATTAATATTTCCAGACATTAATGGTATCGTTTATAGTACGAATCGCTATTAACGGATCTAATTAATTTAATGACATATTTAAATATTAATTGTGTTATTATTTTAAATGGTATTAATCATTAATGTTAAATTAAATGATTACATGGTTTTATTCATATAAATTGTCCATTATACATTACGGGATTATTTATGTTGTTAATGATATATAAATCATTAATATTATGCTGCGTGCATTTTCGATAATAAATGGCTTGCTAAATAAATCATGTCGCAGTTATATTATATGGATGTGTTGCCATATAGAACCATGTGAGCTGACTAATAAGTTGAGATTCATTTATACCTTATGCATTCGTTGCCATAGACAGATGTGTGGCTGTCGGGGTATGTGGTTTAATATTATTGGCATGTGTTGCCTAAGTGATATGCTCAGTATATTCATTAGTACCTTGAGATATGTTGCCACTGTGTAGAACTTATAGTCTGTGTTGTCAGTACCGTACACCATGTATTAATAACTGATTTCCCAAGTAGGGAAAGGAGACACTTAACCACCTCGTGTGAGTCTAAGTGATCACCGTCTATTCTGGTTGAGGTTATATTATACATTGTGTAGTCTCATTAAGGTGTATACAGATATAGTATACTTCTGAATCTTAATAATTAATTTATTTGATTCTCTGATTTGGGTCATAATAGAGAGGACTTGCTCGTGGGGTTGACCCACCATTGTTGTTATTTCAGGACACGGTCAGTACCCGTTTCAAGGTTGAAGCTTAACAGTGTAGGACCACCATCCGAACTCATCTACTCTTACGGTCTTGTTCAGGGTAGAAGTTTTATGTATTATTTTGATTTCAGTTTTATGTACTTCCGACGTTGAACTTTCAGGTTTATATTTAGGGATCCTTGACATAGGATTTCCAAGTTCTATAAAGGAGTATTGTATTTAATAAAGAATGGATGGATGTTTTATCATTTAGTTTTTCTTTTCTGTCTAAGTTCTTCTATTATTATCATTTTGTATTCCATGCTTGTATATTACCAATTGTTTTGATACCTCTCATTTTTTGTGTATAAGCCTGATCAACTTTTGTGGGGAAAATGTGGAGGTATCACAGTTGGTATTAGAGCATTCCAGGTTCGAGTGTCTTAGGGATCTGTGGTTACTATTCTTCCGTGTTGTGTATTCTGATAATTAGAGCCTAAGTGTTAGGGTTCTTTGTACTCTTTTAGTCGGTCCATTATAATGTACTGACGTTAGATTTTTCTAATCCGACAGAAAAATGGTTAGACGTGGGACAAGGAATGTGAACAGAAATCGTAGTATTTCCCCAAATCAAGATGAGAATCAGGAATTTTCTCCTCAAGTTGCTGATATCATTGCACGAGCTGTAGCAGCAGGAGTAGCATCTGCTTTACAAAACCAGCAACCTCCTCAGATGGCACCTGCTCCTGAACCAGTAGCACAGCCAATGTCATGGGACAAAACTCGTCACTCATTCATCAGAGGGAATCCACCGTCATTTGCAGGGTCCACAGATGTCATGTTAGCATATCAGTGGAAACAGGAAAGCAAACGTCATCTTCGGATGGTAGTCTGTACCAAAGTGCAGAAACAGATGCTAGATACTTTTATACTGATAGGCAATGCGTTGCAGTGGTGGGAGTCTATCACTACCATTGAAGAGAGGACCAGATTGACATATGCTGAATTTCAGACTCGCTTTGATAACAAGTATTTTCCCTTATCAGTAAGATCTGCAATGAAGACCGAATTTCTAGATCTACAGCAGGGGGATATGACCGTGGCTGAATATGAACAGAGGTTCATTAATTTGTCTTTGTTCGCACCAGAGGAGGTGAATACTGAAGAAAAGAAGAGAGACCATTTTGTTAAGGGGTTAATATGGTAAATTAAGATGGTGATCGTAGGTAGTCCTGTATATACTACTTACATACAGGTGGTTAATGCCGCTTTACAACACTGCCAGATAGGGAGTGATTACCGAAAATCCAAGGGAGATAAGCGGGCTGACCGAGACTTCACTCATTAGACAGGGGAGAAGGGAAGCAGTAGTGGTACCAAGTTTAATGACCGGGGCAGAGTTCAAGGACATCAACCTTGGAAGAAAAACAAAGGAAACACAGATGTACAGAGAGATGGGGTTCCTAATCAGGGTAGGCAAGTTGTGGTACCTCAGACTAGACAGGAACAGTTTTCAGGAAATCAACAGAGGAGGCAGACAGGTCCTTTTCAGGGACATTGTTATCACTGTAGAGAGATTGGGCATCCAGCCAAGATGTGTCCCAAAGCTAAACAGGGACAGTATGGGCAGCTGAGACCTAATCAGCCATTACCTTTACCGGCCCCACAGATACCACGTGGGCAAGTTCAGAACTTTCCGGCACTTTCAGCACCACCACTTCCTCAGGGACAACCTCCACAACAGTTGCACCATGGCAGGGTATATAACTTCATGCCACATAATGGGCAGTCTCCTTAGGCTATTGAGGGTATGTTTTCTATACATGGTAGATCTGCTCGTATACTATTTGACACTGGTGCATCACATTCTTTTGTGTCTAGATCTTTTGTTAAATTAGCTGGTATGATGACTCAGTTTTGTGACCAACCTCTCAATATTTATACACCATTGGGTGTTGGCGCAATTTTATGAGAGCGTAGCGATGATATCCTTACAGATATAGGCCGGCTTCGATTTCTTGCAAATTTGTTAGTTTTGGATATGCATTCGTATGATGTTATACTTGGAATGGACTGGTTATCTTAGTACCATGCTCAGGTTAACTATTATGAAAAGTCTATTGTATTTGCTATACCAGGATAGGAGATGTATCTTCTTGTTGTACCACAACATGATAGAGGGCTTAGCACTTATTTATTCGTTATTGAGGAGGAATCACAGAAAGAGACTGCGGTATCTCTTGACAGTATCCCGGTAGTACAGGAATTTCAGGATGTATTCCAGAAAATTCCAGACTTGCCACCGAGTCGGGAGATAAACTTCGTCATCGATTTAGCTCCGGGCACTACGCCTATTGCTAAGGCGCCATATAGAATGGCACCAGTAGAGATGCGAGAGTTGAAAGATTAAATTCAGCAGTTGCTCAGCCAGGGATTTATTCACAGGAGTACTTCACCATAGGGAGCACCAGTACTGTTTGTTAAAAAAAATGATGGATCTCTTCGTCTTTGTATTGATTACAGAGAACTGAACAAGGTCACTATACGTAACAAGTACCCGTTGCCCAGAATTGATGACCTGTTTGATCAGTTGAAGGGAGCTACTTACTTCTCGAAGATCGATTTGAGATCTGGTTATCATCAGCTACGAGTCAGAGAACATGATGTTCCAAAGATAGTATTTCTCACAAGGTACGGATCTTATGAGTTTCGTGTTATGCCTTTCGGCTTAACTAATGCCCCAAGTGTCTTTATAGACTTGATGAACAGAGTATTCAGAGAATACTTAGATCAGTTTTTCATTGTGTTCATCGATGATATTCTGGTTTACTCTAAGTCGGAGAAGGACCATGCCAGACATTTACGCACCGTCTTGCAGACACTTCGCGAACATCAGTTGTTTGCAAAGTTTGAGAAATGTAAATTTTGGTAGAAAGAGGTCAAATTTCTGGGCATGTAGTGTCAGAAGAAGGGTTAGCAGTAGATCTAGCCAAGGTTGCGGTAGTTATGTAGTGGGGACAGCCTACCTCACCAACAGAGATTCACAGTTTTCTGGGATTGGCGGGGTATTACCGCAGGTTTATCCGGGGATTTTCTAAAATTGCGAGTCCACTTACTCATCTGACTAAGAAGAATGTACCATTCGTATGGAATGATTCTTGTCAGACCGCTTTTGTTGAATTGAAGAGTAAGTTAACTTCTGCACCTGTCTTAGTTACACCTCAGAGTGGAATCGAGTATTTAGTATTTACCGATGCTTCTCTAAAGGGTTTGGGTTGTGTGTTGATGCAAGAAGAGCGACCAGTTTCTTATGGGTCCCGGAAGCTTAAGTCTCATGAGCTTAATTACCCGACTCACGATTTGGAGTTAGCAACAGTGGTTTTTGCCTTACGTATATGGAGGCATTATCTTTTGGGGGAAACTTTTCGTTTGTTTAGTGATCATAAGAGTTTACAGTATTTGTTCACATAGAGGGAACTGAATATGAGATAGCGCAGATGGTTAGAGTTCGTGAAAGATTATCACTTCTCTATTCAATATCATCCAGGGAAAGCGAATGTAGTAGCAGATGCACTCAGCCGCCGACCCTATGTCAGCCTTTCAGCTTTGTTTGCAACAAAGTGGGATGCTTTGAAGGCTGTTGATGAGTTAGCAGAAGCTTTTATGGCATATGTGGTAGTAATCCTTCTATCATTCACCAGGTCATTAAAGCTCAACTCACAGATCAACAGTGTATTGATCGGGTTTTGGAGTTAGCTTCAGGAGATGTTCCTTTTTACTCTATGGGTACCGATGGGGGATTAAGGTACAAGGGACGTTTAATTGTTCCTTCAACTGACAATTTGAGAAATATGGTGATGAGAGAGACACACACTTCTCAGTTCTCTGTATATCCAGGGGGAGACAAGATGTATCAGGACATGAAACGCCAGTTTTGGTGGGCCGGCATGAAGAGAGATATAGCTATCTTTGTCTCTAAATGCAGCACTTGTCAAATGGTTAAGATTAATCATCAGAGACCGCCAGGATCTTTACAGCCACTTCCCATACCAGAGTGGAAATGTGATAGTATTTCTATGTACTTTATAAAGGGATTACCTACTTCATATCATAATCACAATTCTATTTGGGTCATTGTTGATAGATTGACCAAGTCCGCTCATTTTCTGCCTGTTCGTTCAAACTTTACGTCAGAACAGTATGCTAAGCTTTATATTGCAGAAATGGTGAAACTCCATGGCATACCATTGTCCATCGTATCAGATAGAGATCCGAACTTTGTATCAGGATTTTGGAGGAGCTTTCAGCAGGCTTTGGGTACAGAACTGTATCTTAGCACTGCCTATCATCCTCAGACAGATGGATAGACGGAGCGAGTTAATCAGATTTTAGAAGATATGTTGCGGGCATGTGTTCTTGATTTTAAGGGCAATTGGGAGGAATATTTGCCGCTTTCAGAGTTTGCTTATAATAATAGTTATCAGAAAACTATTGGTATGGCACCATTTGAGGCTTTGTACGGTAGACCGTGTAGGTCTCCTGTTTGTTGGCTTGGAGTTGGCGAGAAGAGCTTTTTGGGTCCTGAATTTATTAAGGACACGTCAGAAAAGATCGCTGTCATTAGGGATCAGATGTGTACAGCCCAAAGCAGACAGAAAAATTATGCTGACCGTTGAACTCGTGTTTTGGAGTTTAAGGTTGGTGATCAAGTTTTACTTAAGGTTTCTCCCATGAAGGGAATAATGTGGTTTGGGTCAAAGGGTAAGTTATCGCCTCCTTTTGTGGGTCCTTTTATGATTACAGATCGGATTGGGGCAGTAGCTTATCGTCTGGCTTTACCAGATAATCTTCATAAGGTACATAATGTTTTTCATGTATCCATCTTGCGGAAATTTCTAAGGGAAAAAGATAGATATTAACACATTGATGTGGGTGAGATTGAGTTGCAACCCGATGCAACCTATTTAGAACAACCTTACTGTATTCTCGATCGTAGGAATCAGATACTGCGCACGAAGACTATTCCATTAGTACGTGTACAGTGGAGTCATCATAGTGAGATAGAGTCTACTTGGGAACGGGAAAATATTATCCGTGCCAAGTATCCAGAGCTCTTTAATACAGGTATGTAGTAAATTTTGGATACAAAATTCCTTTATTAGGGGGGGAGAATGTAATACCCCGTATTTTTAAAGAGTTTATTTAAATTAATTTTGTATTAGGTTAATTATTTAATGTGTAGATTTATTCACCTTTGAATTGTGTATGCTAAATTATTCAATTAATATTATTGGTTTGTACATATAATATAGATTATATGCTCTATATATTATAATTGGTTATATTTTATATTAATTAATATTAGTTACTTAAAGTATTATATTGTAATGTATTAAGATGTAATAATAATAATAATAATAATAATAAAAAAACAATGTCATGATGTAAAGATAGGATTACATTTACTATGGTAGAATTTTAGGTCAAATAACATAACTTAGGTTGCATTCCTTTAACTTAAATTAGGTAAGAATGTTTTGGTATTTATTATAAGTTAGATATTTGTAATATTTATATTATATAAGTTAATATATATATTAGGTAGCTAACTTACCATTTAAAGGAACTCACGTAATTAGAAGAGGAAAAAATAACAGTGAGCAATTTTATAAGAGTGAAAGGAAAAGGGAGAGAGAAAGAAGTTAGGATCGGTGTAGGTAATTTTACCCAACTACGCGCAACTGGCGGATTTGTTTCAAATCCATAAGGCAAGTTATTATCTACTTTTTCCCTTTGAATCATTAAATTAATTATTTAATTTATTTAGATTATTTTGGAGTATGGAAAGCATGCTAGGATGTTAATAAATTAAATTTTTTTAGTTTATTAAAGTAATGAAATTTTAATTATTAAAGGTGTTAGATATTTATTTATTAGCCTATGTAATTAAAATATAGCTAAAATAATTATTTAAAGCTTTAGAGATTTTTTTAGAATTTTCTGGAATTTTTCAAGATTTTTCTGTAATTTCCAGCGAATTTTCTGGCTAGATTCCGGTCACCGGCAGTGGGGAAGACGACCGGAGTAATCCGGTGTGATGCAGCGCACAAGGGTTACCATGCGCTTGTATCAGTGGCTGTTAGATTAACTTTTGATCCTTAGATCAATTCGGTGTAGCGCGGTACACCATATGTTGGTGTGCGCGAA